CTCTTTGCATAACAATGTTTTTGTGTACCGTGTTGTGCCAATTGAGCTTTATGTCCCCCATGACCATGGTCCCAAGCCCTTGGCCCCAGCAGTTCACTCCCTCAAGGTATTTGGCCGTGGCTAAGAAGTTATTTTAACTTTTCCCTGTTAGCTCTATTATATATGTGGACTTTCTAGTAGCACATACAAATATGTATGTAAGAATATCATTTGCCAAACTTACATACATTAGCTCTGGGGTATAGTGCCTGAGACATTTGACTGCGAACCAGAAGGCTGGTGGTCAAACCTACCAGTCACTCCTCAAAAGGAAGGTTGGGCAGTCTACCCAACCCAATCTATCTGTAGAGCTACCACCTCGGAAACCCCAGGAGGGGTTGCTATGAGTCAGATCCGACTCAGTGGCAGTGAGTTTGGGTTTTGGTTTTACATATGGCCGTGGGTGTATTCCTTTTTGCCTACACATACTTGATCATCTTGTCTGTTTCCTATGTACTCACCCATGAAGTAATGTTTGTTACTACTGCATTACGTACAGTATTGGGTATGTAAAAATATTTACCTTTGTTCTCTATACCTCTTATGCACCTGTCTGTGTTGTCTTTTTCCTTCGTGTTATCGTGCTGGTCACTTACTTTCGGTATATTGCCTTTCCCTGCACCCAAATCAACAGGTGTCTCACACCTAGCTAGCAGTTTTCCCTTCCATCCTTTCCCATCCTTGGTACTTTATAATAATTTTTTTTTTTTTTTAATTAGTCATTACAATGTGATTACATTAGAGTAAGGAAAATACCAGTTTTTGCTCACCTTTATATCCCTAATGCCTAGTATACCTACTGCCAAGTTGATTCTGACTCCTAGCAACCCCCATCAGGTTTCCAAGGCTGTAAATCTTTATAGAAGCAGACTTCCTCATCTTCCTCTCATGGAGCTGCTGGTGGGTTTGAGTCACCTCCCTTTTGGTTAGCAGGCCAGGGTCTTAACCACAGTGCCACCAGAGCTCCTTAATGCATAGTATAGTGCTCAGTATTTTTTGAAAGAACAAATTAAGTTTCTTTAAGTATTTAGGTGATTTAGGAATTGTTTCATCGATCTGTTTATTCCATATTGAATATCAAAGTGGTTTTTCACTGATGTAGCTTTATATGAAGGTATTAATTATACTTATTTCTTTTAAGAAATAGCTTTATTGAATTATAATTGACATACAATACATTATGCATAGTATAGTTATACTTAAAATGTGTAGTTTGATAAGGTTTGATAAATACATACAAAGTTTACACATGGTAGATTACTTGAAATTGCCCCATAGCTCAAAAAAGATACGGATTTTAAATTCAACTTTTTTTTTTTCTGTTACTTCAGTTTGAATAGTTTTTGTTATGTCTTCAAGTTTCATAATCTTTTCTTTACAGTCTCTGTTCTGTTGTTAATCCCATCTAGTGTATTTTTCATATCAGATAATCTACTTTTCATCTCTACAAATTTGATTGGGGAATATTTTATATCATTTATGTCTCTACTTCATATAATCAACCTCCAAGCTCTTTTTCTTCAACTCAGGGATACCTCCAGGCTCTAATCTGGGCCCCTCCTACCTGGAAACTCTCTCCAGGCAGTAAGCTGGGTCACTCATAGGCCCACCTCTTTTGTTTTTCATCTCTCAAGGATTGCCATTCTTCATTGCCTAATGTCCAATGTCTTGGAAACCATTGTTTCATGTATTTTGTCCAGTTTTTTGGTTAGGCAGAAGGACAAATAGGTCACTAGTACTCCATCTTGGCTTCCCACTCATTACTCTCACTTTTTTGGTATATTTCCAGTTATTTCCTGGCTGGTGTCATGTTAATTTTTCTAGCTAACTGTTAGTTCAAACTGCTCATTTTTCTTCAGTTTTTTTTTAATGTATTTTATTGAAATATTATTTATGTACAGTGAAATACACAAAACTAAAGTGACATGGATCAGTGCATTTTTTTTTTTCCCACAGTGTTGCCTCCACTCCTCTCCCACCCCTGGCAGCCAACAAAGAAAGTTTCCTTCCATATATAAACCTTTCCTTGGCCCTCCACAACAACAAACTAATACTGTATTTGCCCTTCTGTGATTGATTTATTTCGCTCACCATAATGTCCTCCAAGTTCATCCATATTATGCGATATTTTGCAGACTGTACATTATTCTTTAGTACTGCATAGAATTCCAGTATGTGTATGTACCATAGTTTGGTCATCCACTCTTCTGCTATAAATCTTAGAGATAATTCCCTTGCCAGATATGTAATTATCGACAAATACCAATTTGTTGCTGTCATTTTTGTTATGTACTTTTTCGTGGTGTTGATTTCTTTGTTCCTTGTAATTTTCTATGCTGAGCTCATTTTGTTTATGAATCGTGTTATCACTTCCTTCATTGCTATTGTTTTAGTATTTGCTGAGTATTTATGCTGGTTCTCTTTTTTGATGTGAAGGTTTATCATTTTTCTTTGAGGTTACCCTGTGATTAATAGTTTTCTTCCCAAGTTTAGAATAGTCCGTTTTATCTTATAGTTGTCTCAACTTCCCTACCATCTAGAAGTTTC